ATGAAAATAATTGTTCTGGATCAAATAAAAGGCCGGTGTGTTTTAACAGCGTGCCTCTGATAGAAGGCAGTGATGAATGCTTAGGGAAAAGTGCAGAAACAAGGCAAGCAATGTTAATGCCATTTGACTGCCTTACTGCACACTGCTGTAACATGACAGCTTTTTGTTTTTCCTTTTGATCATAACTTAAGTTTATACAAGATACCTCCTTACTTCTGATAGCTTCCCCTCCAAACTCTGACTTCCTAAATTCCTTTCCTCTTGAACTTTCAGTATATTGTCTTGTCATTGTCTTACAGTCAATGAAGAGTTTGCTCTTTCTGTTAAAAAGAAACTAAGCTGCAACCAACTTCTTCCTATTTTTGTAGTTACCCTTTTAAATTTAACCTTAGTAATGGTGTACTTCTCACTTTTATTGTTTCTGCAGAGAGTGAATAGAAATACCCTGTGATTCATAAGCAGTCATGGATAGTGTCTTATCTGGTCTTCACACAACACCCCCAATTTAGAGTTTTCCAGTCTAAAGCGGTTAAGCAAAAGAATTCCTGTAATCTCCTTTCTGGAGGAGTTGTCACCTTAAATCATCCGTGGTTCTGCATCCAGCAGCTTTCCTTGCTTCTTCAGTCTGTTAACCCTTAAATCCCATTCTCATTTTAAGTGCCACCAACGTGCTTCCATTTTGACTGAGATGAAGTCTGTCTTGTTTGTGGAGGAGCACTCTATTCTGGACTCTTCCTCCTTTTTTTCCTATAACATTTTCTCATGCATGGCTTATTAGTCTTCAAAAGGTGCCTAAATTGTGTAAGCTTCATATCTACATAATAGATGAACTCATACAGTTTTTTTGCTCATTGTGGAAACATTTCTGAAGTAGAACTAATTGTTCAGTTTGGATAAAGAGTAGCATTATTTGTTTTGTAGAAGCTGTAAGTGCATTTGATGTATGAATGTTGTGAAAAACTGCGTGCACTTGAATCTTTCTCTTTAGAAAGATCTGAACCCCTGGGGCTATTCTAACACTCTTTTGCAATGAATAAAAAATTGCTTGGAAGAGAAGTCGTACTATGTTCCAGCACTTTTTTTTACCTTTTAAAATTGTATTATTAACAGATCACGGGGATAAATTAATATTTTAATAGGAGTGCTGGGTTTCATAATGGAAAACTGGAATCCGTGCCCCACGGTGTCTTTGTTTTTCAGTGGAATCCTTGCCCCACGTTGTTTTTAGGGAAGTGTTGTCAACAGTAACATAGCCCAGTTCCACAATATCTGTATGTTTTCTTCTGAAGTGGAATTGTCTGTTTTTCATACGAGAGCACACTAAGGGGCTTCAACCAGACTCGGCTGATGTGATTATTGTCAGGCCAGGCTGAGAGTTGGTGTGCGCTCTCATTGTCTGGCCCACCTCTGGGTGTTATTTCTGCAGAAGAAATGGCACAGCTGTTTTTAACCTTCTTTTTCAGTTCTGGGCCCCTCACTCAGTTCTGGGCCCCTCACTATAAGAAGGATGTTGAGATTCTGGAGCGTGTTCAGAGCAGAGCCACAAGGATGGGGAGGGCTCTGGAGAACAAGCCTGATGAGGAGCGGCTGAGGGAACTGGGCTTGTTTAGCCTGGAGAAGAGAAGGCTGAGGGGAGACCTCATCACCACCTCCAACTGCCTCAAGGGAGGTTGTAGAGAGGTGGGTGCTGGTCTCTTCTCCCAGGTGATGGGGGATAGAACAAGGGGAAACGGCACCAAGCTGTGCCAAGGGAGGTTCAGGTTAGAGAGAAGGAGGAAGTTCTTTACTGAGAGGGTCGTCAGAAGCTGGCACAGGCTGCCCAGGGAGGTGGTGGAGTCACCATCCCTGGATGTGTTTAAAGAGCGGGTAGATGAGGTACTTAAGGATATGGTTTAGTGGGTAGACAGGAACGGTTGGACATGATGATCTCAGAGGGCTTTTCCAACTGAGCGATTCTGTGATTCTGTGTAACCTGTCTTTCCAAGCCGTGTGGTTGGAGGTATGGCTGGATGCACATACAGTGGCAGAATTTTCATGGATGCTCCCGAATCTCCCAGTTCGGATGTAACCTCCAGTCTGCTCTTTGAACCAGGGGCAGTAGGGTGAGAGTCTCGTTGGTGTTATTTTTGTGGGCTAGATCTTTCTACTAGGCTTCAGTCATCTTTCCAGCTGTTGATAAAATCAGGAGGAGCCTTAAAGCTGATTTCTTCAGAATGGGATCGTACCAAAGACTGTCTGTTCGTCGTGTGGTGGAGGTTGTAGAAATGTGCTGGGAATTAAACTCTGCATCTTCTGTACACGGTTATCCCACTCTGCTGAATATTAGAATGAGAGAATCTTTGTTTAATCTAAAAAGGGTTTTGCAGAAAACACTTTCATGTGAAAGCTGCCATTTTTCTGTAATGTTTTGAAAATTGACGTGGTGAAAAACAGGAAAAAAGCCTCATTATTGTGAAAACTTTCTCATGCTATGGTACATTTTTTTAATAAGCTATTTAATTGTACTTGGGATGCTTAGTTTTATTAAACATTATTCCATTTTTCATTCAGTTCATTAAGAGTGCCAGTCCTGCAACCTGGATATTTCTCTTTCTGCCTCTTGCAGCTGCAGTTTGCAGAGTTCAGCATCAGCAGCGGATGCCCTGATCTAAGAGAGGGCTTTCAGACACTTAAGCTTGAGAATATTTCTTAGAAATGATGGAATGATGAGTGCCAGCCTGTTAGCTCAAAAATTTCACGTATTCTAGACTTCAGCAAGCAAAGCTGAGGCTACTTCCAAAAATAATGCCACTGGAAGGTCATGTTTCCTTGTACCAGTCCATTTTATTTGATGGGCTCCTGCAGCAAACTGGAAGGCTTTCCCCACTGCTAGGCAAACCAATGACTTGCATTCAGCCTGTTGTGCACCAGCATCATGTGGTGTTCTCTGCAAAGCTATCTCCTCCCTAGGTGTCCTTCAGCCCACACTGCTGTGAGGAGTTATTCTGTCTCAGGTGCAAGTATTTGCACTTGCCTTTACTAAATGGAATGGGGCATCTGCCAGTTGAAGTCACTCTGGCTGCCATCCCATCCCATCCCATCCCTCCTGCATGTGGTTGCCTCTTCACTCTCTCCAACTTGGTGTTGTCCACGTAGTTCCTGAGGGCACAGTTTATCCTGTTTTTTCACGTTGTTGATGAGGATACGGAACTGTGTGGACTGCAGTGTTGGCCTTGAGAAACTGCTTGTAGCTGGCTGACCAGTTGTACTTCAGGCTGCTCAGCTTTCTTCTTTGAGCCACTTTTTCAGCCACATTCTAGTCTCTTTTTTCAGTCAAGTGTAGAACAAACTCCAATGATAATGCCCTGGTGAGACCGCATCTGGAATATTGTGTCTAGTTCTGGGCCCCTCAGTTCAAGAAGGACAGGAACTGCTGGAGAGAGTCCAGCGTAGGGCTACAAAGATGATCAAGGGAGTGGAGCATCTCCCTGATGAGGAGCAGCTGAGGGAGCTGGGACTCTTTAGTTTGCAGAAGAGGAGACTGAGGGGAGACCTCATTCATGTTTATAAATATTTAAAGGGTGAGTGTCACGAGGATGGAGCCAGGCTCTTCTCGGTGACAAACAATGATAGGACAAGGGGTAACGGACACAAACTGGAACACAGGAGGTTCCACTGAAATTGGAGAAGAAACTTCTTCTCAGTGAGGGTGCCAGAGCCCTGGCCCAGGCTGCCCAGAGAGGTTGTGGAGTCTCCTTCTCTGCAGACATTCAAAACCCGCCTGGACGCCTTCCTGTGTAACCTCATCTGGGTGTTCCTGCTCCGGCAGGGGGATTGGACTGGATGAGCTTTGGAGGTCCCTTCCAATCCCTAACGGTCTGGGATTCTGTGTTAATGTGATAAGAGGTAAACAGAAACAGTTACTTCATGAAAGTGTTAAAAACTGAGAACTAAAGCCTGAAATAGCAAGGGATCTCTATTGCTGCTTTGTTTGTTCAGCGTTTCTGAGAAACCACATCCTTCTGAAATATCTTGGGTTGGGAACCAGAGTTAATTTAAAAAAAAGTAGGTGGTCATTCTCAAGTAATTATCTCTCTCTTTCCTTTGAGATAGTTTCATGGACTTTTTATGACTCAGGTTTTGGTAGTTTAACTGATAATTTTCAGGATTCTTGGCTCACAATTCCACTTGGATTTTCTGGTCTCACTGAAGATGTCATGTAGTCAGGAGATGGTGTGCGTTTGTGTAGTGGGCTGGTGTCTCATCTCTTCTGCATGCAGATTTACATAATGCAGTCATGCATTGTCAAAACAACTCTAGTTCAAGCGTTACGTCTCCATTGTCAGAGATACATCTTTCTGCTCTCAGGCTAGGCTAAATTGCATTCGTATTTTTATAGCTAAATGCATTTGGCATTTGTTCTCTTTTTAGCTAAGGTATGAATGTGTAACTGGAGAATGTCTTAGCTACTGTGCTTGCAACAAAGAATATTTTTAGATGACAATTGTAGTTCTTTAACAAAATAACTCTGTAAGGTTTTTTTGCCAACTTGGCTTTAGTTTTGCAGTTATTTTGTACAGTGAGGTTAGATTCTAATGTAGCTGTCAAACAGGAGGAGTGGTGGTCACTGCATTTGTTCCTGGACCTGCTGTTCTGCCTAGAACTGGGGGGAAAAACCCCCAAGCTTTGCACAGAACAAAGACTGATAGAGGAGGGCCAATCATAATTGATATTCAGTAGCATTTTAAATCTTTTTAATTATGTAGCAGTTAATACATTTTTAAATTCCTGTCATTTTTTCTATCATAAATGCGTATCAAACAATAATCTTTCAGTATTTAAAGTGGTTTTAGTGTATTAATTATATGCAGTAGCAGCTGGTAAAACGGAATTATTTTACACTTCTTGCAACACCTTAATTTTTAGGAGCGTGACAGGAATAACATTGGGTGCTTTTATCTCCTCTTACTGCAGAGAAATTTTTGACTAAAAAGGTTGTGTTTTTTTTTTCTTCTTTCTAGATCTTTCAAAGAACAGATTTACTGAAATTCCTCCCGATGTCTGGCTGTTTGCACCGCTGGAAACTTTAAATTTGTATCACAACTGCATCAAATCCATTCCAGAATCTATTAAAAACCTGCAAATGCTCACCTACCTTAACATTAGGTGAGTAACGCCTGTTATTTTTGGTCTTTGTATAACTTATCTCCTTGGGGAGGTGGCATTCTGCTTCATCAGGTCATTGAGTGCCTTTGTGCCCTTATTTTTGCCCAGGTAGGTGAAATTCTGTTTGTTTGCCTTATCTGTGATGTGTTAAGGCCAGCAGTTGGTACTTCCTTTGTGGGAAGGAATTGCCTGAATTACAGCATTTCGGTCAGTGAGCTGTGGTAGCTGAGGATCCGGAGAGTTTACAAGGTTTTCTTTGGTTTTTAGTGTCACGCAGACAGACAATGTTTAGAAACTGGATGTGCGAAAATTTGCTGCGCTCAAGAGAGCAGGTTACTCTGGGCAGAAGGCTCTGCTCATTTTGCATGTTATTTACATCCATTGCTGTATTGCTCTTCCTCAACTTGGAAATGATGTGGTTGGATCTGCTCAGAAGAGCAGAAGGTGAACACCAAAAGAGCTCTGGAAAGAGGGAATCTGGAACCCTCCCAGAGAGCAGAGTTTTCCACAATAATCCTTGTTTCTTTTGTTGACTACATCAAGTCCAATCCACTTCTCTGCTAAGGGCTGTTTAGTGGGTGAGATTTGATTCCAGAATTTATTTTGAAGGAAAACTTCACGAATTGATCCTCGGTAAAGCAAAAAGTAAAACTCTCAACTAAACAAAACCAACCCCAAAACTGTGTCAAAATCTGCAAATATCAGTACTTACAGTGATTATTTAAAAGTAGTCTGTTCTGTGGCAGTTCTGAAGAGGATTAATGATGTGATAAAACTGCAGCGGTTTCTGAAAGAAAAGAAGAAAGACCTAACTTTCTTCAGATAGCAGCAGCAGCCCATTTGTCTTTCGATAGCAAGTGTGGTGCTGAATACATTCTTCACACAGAAATAAAGCAGCCTGTAGTTGTAACTGGGCACTGCGTGCCTTGCCGTGCTTTGTCTTCATTTTTGTGCTGATGTCTGAGACCCGTTTCCGAAATGCATGAGCACGTGGGCTGGAGCAGCTGAAGAACAGGCTGAAGTCCTGGGTTACTGGTTTCAGTGTTTTGTTACAGAAGAAAACCATGTGAGCTCAACTTCTAATTTTGGATTCAGATGACTGAAGAAATAAACGCGTTGTGCAATTCATAGTAAAGTAGGCAGCTCTTTGAGGGGGGAGAAAAGAAACCCAGAGGGAATTTCCTTAAATGATGCAGAGAATGACCGTTTCCTTGCCACATTTGTATAAAAGATTTTAAAAAGTTTACTGCACACTATGCTTTTGATTCTCATGTTCTCCAACAAAAGTCTGTCATATCTGCCTGAAATAAAACAAGAAAGATACTGCATGCTTCTATCCAAAACTTATTTGTATTGTTCATTTAGAATTAGCAGAACCAATACGTTACATTTGTAAAGATACTGATGGAAATTTACTTTCGTTTTATGGTGTCCAAGTTGCAGTACTTCTTTGAAGCTGAAATGTTGCCAGGATATACATTTATTTTTGTCTTTGCAGCCCTATAGACTGTATCATGAAGAGAAATAATGTAAAAAAAGCTTTTTTTTAAATCTCTGATACATCCCAATTGACTAGCAGGACTTTTTCTCAATATAGTGTGAACACAAATGTCAATACTTACAAGTTTTTTGGCTTTTTTTTTGGTATTTTTGTCAAAATAGAAGTAACCTCTACATAGTTCTACTTTAAAGCAACAACATTTTTGTTTGGAAGGAATTGCTTTCATACCACATCTGAACAAGCAGGTTTTCCAATGGCTTCTTGAAATGTGCAAGTACCTTATTAAAAAATTCTGTTTATTTCTGGCAGTGGCAGTCTGCTGTTGGTAGTTTTTCCAGTATGGATTTAAATCAGATTGTCAGTAGCAGTGTATTTCTTGTGTCCGAAGCAGAAATGCACGCGTGCAGTTGGAAAATAACATACACAAAAGAAAGAAATTTAAGTTTCAGCTTACCTTCCAGACTATTGCTCAGCAAAGTAATAAATGGATGTTAAAGGCTTTTTGGTGGTCACTCAGGAGCGACAGGACTGCATGACATGAGAAGCAATGGCTTTGAATACAGGTCTGGTTTGCTGAGAACATGGACTTTATATTGGTAGAGCATCAGATCAGGCAGTGCTTCTGAAGATAGCAGAAAGCAGGATAAAAGCAAACATCACACGTGTCTTTTAACAGGTTTCTCTGTACATTTTAGTGTTAGATACTCATCTCATCAAGTGAGATCGAGACCTAAAATTCATGTATCTGAGAGAAGTTTTATCTGGTAAGGAATTAATGATGGAGACTGTAGCTTAAATTGTAATAGGTGGAGAATATCTTATAGAATAGGAGAAAAGTTGTACGATGTGCATCTCTGACTCCTTGTCAGGCTTAAAAAGAAGATTATAATGTAGCCTTGCTTGTTCATTTCTCTTTATTTCAAGTCGAAATCTTTTGTCAACGTTGCCAAAATACCTGTTTGATCTTCCACTTAAAGTGCTGGTTGTCAGTAATAATAAGCTGGTCTCCATTCCAGAAGAAATTGGAAAGCTGAGAGATCTAATGGAGTTGGTAAGTACAATTGTGAACCATTGTACTAAGTAAACCTAAATGATAAGCAATTTATTTACAGTATAATGACAATATAAATTAATAACTTCAAAAATGCAGAACTACAAAATGTGAACTCAGTTACTGCTTTTTCTTCGTGTTTCAGCTCAAATTACAGGTGTAATATATTGTAGAGTTTCTAAAACAGGATTAAATACTAATCAGTGTGTCGGGTTAACTAAAGCTTAAGGGTTTCATAAATAAAATTGCTTTTCAGATTATTTAATTTGAGTTCCTCACTTACGTTGTTAAAAATGGTGGATTTTTCTGTTTACCATCTTTATAGTACTCATAATTCCATTCAATTATTTTTCTTATGTTGTCAGGAGTCTTCTTCCCAGCTGAAGAGTTCATGTCTCTCTGTTCTTACACAAGTTATGCCATTCAGTCATTGCTGTCTTGTTCTTTGGTTTTTGTTTTGGTTTGGTCTGGATTTTGTGTCTCAGGTTTCTGCGACACACACTGTTCAGGTGTATGTACAGCATTTTATCCTGTGGCACAGTAAAGCTTGATGCTTTGTCGTTGTCATGATTTATAGTTGCTCTGTCACCCAGTGACCCCTCCCCACCTGGGGAAGGGAATCGGGAAAAGGAAAGGAGTGCTGTGGGTTGAAATAGATTTAATAAAATTTTACTGAATCAGAAATAAAAAAGATTAGAAACAGTCTGATGTCGGTGTGATTGTTGACTCTGGAATACTTGCACGTGAATGTTAAACAGTGCTAGAAGTGGCTGTAGTCTGTGCTCACTTGGTGCAGCTTTGTCACCCTCTAGTGCTTGTATCCAAAAAGTCGGTGAGCCTGCTATTGCTGTTTGCAAGTTTTACTTGCATGGATTAGTTCAAAGTTTTTTAAGGAAGAAGAATGTTTCTAGAAGGAGCAGAATGCAAAACATGTGCCAGCAGTAGCACAAGAAGTCTGTAACTGGAGCTACCCCAGGAACTCCTGTTCCCTAGATTTAATCTCAAAACCAGTCGTTCATCATTCAATGATTTAACTTTTTGAATTGAGTTTCTGAAACATGAATCACTAAATACTGAGGAAACAGTGAGATGTGTTATGTTACTACTTCCCTTTGTGGAAAAAAAAGCCCAAGAGAAATAGGATATTTTTAATAGTACACTTTAGAGGAGTTTTGGTAGCAGTTTTCCTTTGTTTAATTTCATTTAAGATGTTCAGGTGACTTATTATTTATATCTTTCTTAGGATATTAGCTGCAATGAGCTTCAGGTTCTTCCCCAGCAGATAGGAAAATTGCAGTCACTTAGAGAATTAAACATAAGAAGAAATAATCTCCATATGTTGCCAGATGGTAAGCTACTGGTCTTAATTTCTTTGATGCAGGTAAATGAGGTAAAGTGTTAAGAAGATATCTGATTCTTTTTTGTTGTTGTTTCCCCCAATGCAGAATTAGGAGACCTTCCCTTGGTGAAGCTGGATTTTTCCTGTAATAAAATTACAGAAATTCCAATTTGTTACAGAAAGTTACGTCACTTACAAGTTATACTTCTGGATAACAATCCAATGCAGATACCACCAGCACAGGTTAGTATTAAAACATTCTAGTTCAGGAGTTTGCATTGGGATCTTAAAAAAGAGGAGGCTGTTCTAGGTTACATACCAATCAGGTTTTCATTTTTTCAACTGTTTCTCCTCGTGGGAAGTTGTGGGTACAAACTCGGTGTAGAAAGCATTTGTTGGGCTGCGTTTTCAAAAGATACGCTGTTAACTAAGACATTTTGTTTGTTTGTTTCCCAACAGATATGTTTAAAGGGTAAAGTACATATATTTAAATTCCTCAGCATTCAGGCGTGCCTCAGAATAGATAAAAAACCAGATTCTTTGGATCTTCCATCACTAGGTAAACGAATTCCCTCCCAGCCACTCACAGACAGGTGAGTAGCAGGCTTTTTGTTTCATTTCACTTCAGCATTTGCTATGTAGTGATCTGTTTGTCACAGATAATAGCTGTAATTTCAATACTTTAGTTTTTCTGTTGTTTAGGAGGCATAGTATTTATTTTTTAAGGTCATATTACTGGAAGCTTAATTGGCTTGTAGGAGTTGCTATGAAAAACTTTCATTCTATTCACTAAAGATTTGGAAATCAGAACAAAGATATTTATTAAATTTATTCATTGGAAAACTCAGCTATTTATTTCCCAAACAGATATGTCAAACAATAGATGAGAAATTCCTATAAATGTCCTGAATATGGAGTTAGTCTTTTAGATGGAAAGTCTGCCTTCCACATATATTTTAAGGGAAACTAACTTAAACATCAGTGAAATACTATGGATTTTTTTTTTATTAGATTAGTTGAGGTCGAAAGTGCAGAGTATTTTGTTGGACTTCTGTGTACCTCTTGAATAATTAAATGGGAGTGCTTTTGCGTTTTCTGTTGTCAGTTGACTTGCCATTGGAAACCACATGGAGCAGTACTCTCTTTGCCTATTTTCTTAATACATTGCACGTAGCTTGTGCATCTCTTATGTTCAAGGCTGAAGGAAAGCTGAAAGTTATAAGTGAGGCTTACACAGAACCATCTGAACCATCAGATTCAGTCCATGGTCTTGGTCTCGGGCAACGGTGCCGTAGAGGATTAGTCCACAGTGTCTGCGGATAGCTTCTAAATGCTTCTAAAATCTGCAGTGCACAACTGCTCCCCAAAAGCCTCCACTGAAATTAAGGCCTACAATTAAAATGTATTGCAAAGGAACAAGGTCACGAGACCTTATAGCAGCCTTCCAGTACCTGAAGGGGCTACAGGAACGCTGGAGAAGGACTTTTTACAAGGGCAGATAGGGATAAGACAAGTGGTAATGTCTTTAAACTGAAAGAGGGTAGATTTAGACTAGATATTAGGAAGAAATTCTTTACTGTGAGGGTGGTGAGGCACTGGCACAGGTTGCCCAGGGAAGCTGTGGATGCCTCCTCCCTGGAAGTGTTCAAGGCCAGGTTGGATGGGGCTTTGGGCAACCTGGGCTGGTGGGAGGTGTCCCTGCCCATGGCAGGGGTTTGGACTGGATGAGCTTTAAGGTCCCTTCCAACCCAAACCAGTAGTGAGAACTTGTTTAAACTTTGCAGATAATCTTATAACACCAAGTTCCAGTGCACAGCTGGAAAACACATTCTACTAATGCTGCCATTTTTTTGTCGTTGAAAGGCATAAATTTGGAGAAAATATTTCATTGATATTCAGGCAGAGTTAAACCATTATAATCTGTCTATTGGGAAATGTGTATTAGATACTAGTAGAAAACCATGTCTGTCAATCAGATTTGAGAAACTGAGGTTTTTCAGAGGAAGCCTTCTTTTCTGAAGATGGTATTTTTAAATAAAATAAAACTGTTCACAGAGAGAGTACCATAATTTATAATTTCCAACTTAAGTTTGCTTTGATACTTTTTTCTTGAACAACTCTTGCAGGAGATTAAGAATTTATGGAAGTAGAATGGTTTTAGTTGGAAAAGACCTTTAAGATCGAGTCCAACCAGCCCTAAGTCCACCACTAGACCATGTCCCTAAGCACCACATCTACTTGTCTTTTAAACACCTCCAGGGATGGTGACTCGGCCACCTTCCTGGGCAGCCCCTACCAATGCTTGACAACCCTTTCAGTAAAGAAATTCCTCCTAATATCCAACCTAAGCCTCCCCTGGTGCAACTTGAGGCCATTACCCCTTGTCCTATCACTAACTATGAGGGAGGAGAGACTGACCCCCACCTCACAACAACCTCCTTCCAGGCAGTTGTAGAGGGTGATAAGGTCTCCTCTCAGCCTCCTTTTCTCCAGACTAAATTTGTTCTCTGCACGTGGGGCATTGTGAAAAAATTCTGTATCAGCAACTGTAGATGAGTACAGAGAACATATTTTTTAAAAGCTGTTTGTTTTCTTTTAGAAAAGGGCATTATATTAAAGTGAACTTTTTCTTTCATTCCTGTGTGGTTTTTTTGTGTGTCATTTTTCTTGGTGTAGCATGGAGGACTTTTATCCCAATAAAAATCATGGACCAGACTCTGGTATTGGAAGTGATAATGGAGATAAAAGGTTGTCCACAACAGAAGTGAGTATTTTTCACTGTTGAATTTGTGTTATTTCTGGAGTTTTTAATTTTTCCCTTGTATCTTGTATTATTTGATAAGTACTTAAGTTGCATTTAACGTTGTTTGACTATCTGTACAGTTAGTTTAAACCGTTAGACTGCCAGTGTCAGACACAAATTATTTACATGTTGCTTTGAGTTTTCTGGTTAAGGTCCAAACAAAATAAGGTTCAAATTCGGGTTCAAATTTGCATACATTTTAAAACCTAGAATTCTGACATAAGGAATTGTTTTCATTTTTTAATGTGTGAGATGCATCATTGATTTCTACACAAATGATGAAATTTATTTGAAACTTTATTATTAATGAAATGAATGTACTTTAAAAAAAATGAAAGTTTATTTGGACTCACCTGGAGTGTTGTGTATGTTAATAATTCTTGTTTAAACAAGTTCTGCATGATCTGCTCGGTTTAAAGCGATGAAGAAAAATCCCAACAAGTTCTCTGTGGATCTGCAGAAATCGAGATTAAGGAGCTGTAATTAACAGCAGTGCTGTCAAAGCTGAATAGTGTAGAACAGAAGATTTTTGAGACTTGGCGAATTATTACAAATGCAGAGTGGTTGTTAGTGGGAAAACTGTACAAGGAGCATTACAAGTGGGGAGTTTTTAAAGAAAATACCAACTGATTAGAAGTAAAGCTGTGATTTTTTTTAAATTTTCTCTTTTTCCTGTGGCCTAACAAGGGTCAAAGTAGCTGGAGGCATTAGATAAGAAAGTACCTAAGTACAGTTTTCTTAGTCCACTGTCCAGGGCTGGTCTGGGTCTCTGAACAAAATGCTGTGTTTCAGTATTAAATACTGAACAGTTTTCTCTCATTCCCTAAACTTATGATTCTCATAAACCTCCTTCCCACCACCCCCAAAAAAAAACCCCACCCACAGTAAAGCCCCACCTGACTTGATGTTATTTTCTCTGTCCTGGGAGTCATCCCTCATGATAAGGTCAGTTGCACTATAATTTGTGACTTCTTACCAAGAATAATGTGATTTATACTTAAGTTCTGTCTTAAATGTGACTGTCTCTGCAGCCATCTGATGATGATACAATCAGCCTCCACTCCCAAGTATCAGAATCAACCAGAGAACAGACATTAAGGAACGACAATCATATAATGGGAAGTAAACTCGATCCACAGAAAGGTAATATCTGTTGTGTGTCTGTCATTTTAGGTAACAGAAATGCTTCTGCTTAGGTAATCTAATAGAAGGAAATTGCACAAAATGATGTGATCCCATGTTGGCATTGTATTTCCATCATTTCGGAAAACAATGTAATAATCACAAATAGACCAGGCCAGAAATAAAGAAAAAAGATGATTTCTAGCTCTAGGTGTATTGGGGGGGGGGGGGGT